CCAGGAGCGCTGTGCCAAGTAACATGTCTGTGCCCTAACTTACTAAACTGGCAACCAGAACTGAAGGGGGGTAAACTCTAGTCGATTTTATTACTGAGGTGTAACCTATGTACAAGTTGAGTATATATATAGTTACAACGAGGGCAGGCCCGCAAATGGCGGAGCCGAGCTAACGGGGTTAGACATTAGCTGATTGAATATTACCGACAAGTCAGGTTATGGGGTTAGTGGAATGGTAGGCGATAACCCAGAAATGGAAAGGAGGGATAGGCCCGAAGGTGGGCTTGCAGGGCAAGCGAGTGTATTGCCCAGCAGAGGTGGGAGTGCGCTAGCGGACATTGGAGCTGTCCGGAAGCCTTTGGGGCTCCATACTTAGGGAGGCATAGGTAATAAATTGAAAGGAGGGGGTGGTGACCATTGAGGGGTACCGAGGAGATTGCGGAATACGGGAGCTCCGAGGTTAGTGAAGAAGGAGCGGAGGTAGACCGGAGGGATTGGAGGGAGTGGAAGTCGATGGCCAGGGATGGATATGACAATCACCCAGATCCATACTTCTCTGATCACATCATCCTTGCTCCACGTAATGCTGATGTCCATTCCATCAATGAACACATCTTAGGCAAATTTCCTGGGGAGGAGATGATTTATGACTCTGCTGATTCTGCTGTGGATGAAGAGGGTGCTGACCATCCTGATCCCATTCCAGTGGAGTGCCTCAACTCCATCAATGCATCAGGTGTTCCTATTTCAAAATTGGCCCTGAAAGTTGGATCCCCAATTCTTCTCCTCTGAAACCTGTCAGTGCAGGATGGACTTTACAATGGGACTTGCCTTTGTGTTGAGCATCTGGGAAGGAGAGTGATTCAAGCCCATGTCCTTGGAGGTTTTCATCATGGGAAAGTTGCTTTTATCCCAATGACCCTCACACCATCAGACTTAGGGGAGTTGAACTTTATCCTCAAACGGCAGCAGTTTCCAGTTGCATTGGCCTTTGCTATGACTGTGAACAAGGCACAGGGACAATCTGTGAAGCATGTGGGTGTCATATCCCAGAATCCCGACCCTGCGCTCTCCCACCACATCACACCTTCCTAACAACTTCATCATCCCCTACACCTTAACTCCCCACTTCCCAAATCACCTTCCTTCCAAACTGTCTCAGCTCCAGCCTGGTTGCAGCACACCTTACCTTGGCCACTCCCATCCTGGAAGTTCGGTCCTGGGTTGGAACATTTGGGGACTCTGGATTTGCTCCGACCTCCTGACAGTTCTCCGACATCCCATGACTTACCTCTAAACCATTCCCCCTCCCATTTCATTTATTGGAGTCACCCAACATCCCTCGGATACGTAACTCCACCTTCGGAGCTACCTGCATCCTCTGGTGATCCCACTCATGTCATCACTAATTAGTCACCTTCCTTTTATAGCACGACTGTTGTCTTCTTTTCATTCAGTCGGCGAACCTCCTCTTACGCATTTCTCGTTCCCATTCATCTTCTGGCCTCTTACTCCACCCTTCTCGACCCGACACCTCGGTTTCCTGTTAAGGATATCGTTTGGGACCTTTCGGTACCTCCGGTATCATTCAGCACCTTTTGGTGTTTTCCATTATCACTCAGACTTTGACTAAAGTCCTTCCCATTCCTCCATATATAAATACTTGTAGATTGGAACCTGTAGTTCCCCAGTTCTAATCTTGACTAAAATGTTACCCCAAGTCCCTCTGAGTGAATCCTGACCCCTTTCGACAAGATACCTCAGACACATGAAATACAAGGACTAACTGAGACGTAACAGAGGCACAGCGCTCCCTCTGAGTTGCTGAGGCCGTGTCCTTCTTAGAGCCTCTTGTACCACCCAGCAGACCTGGGCTTCCTGGAGAAGCTTCGGTCCACTACTGGAGCTCTCGGATCCCCTCTAGTTGAGCCCTGCCTGCATTCGGACTCACGCATTTTCCCCTATGTTTGGGGTTTTTGACAGTGGGGCTTGATTTGCGTGCACCATGCTTCAGTCATGGACAACTTTATGTTGCACTGTCAAGGGTTACTTCTCCTCAAAACATTAAAGTCATTTTCCCTCCTGGACACCATGACTCTTTGACATCAAATGTAGTGTATCATGATGTTCTGATTGATTGATATATATCCCATTGCCTCTTTACTTGCACAAGGAGGACAATATAACAAGAATAGGCTTTTCTCATTTCTGTGCATTGTCATATCCATCCACGGCCATCGACTTCCACTGCCTCCAATCTCTCTGGACTACCTCCGCTCCTTCTTCACTAACCATGGAGCTCCCATATTCCACAATCACCTCGGTATCCCTCGATGGTCACCACCCCCTCTTTTCAATTTATTACCTACGCCTCCCTAAGTACGGAGCCCCAAAGGCTTCCAGACAGCTCCGACGTCCGCTAGTGCACTCCTGCCTCCACTGGGCAATACACTTGCTTGCCCTGCAAGCCCACCTTCGGGCCTATCCCTCCTTTCCGTTTCTGGGTTATTGCCTACCATTCTGTTAACCCTGTAACGTGACTTGTCAGTAATATTCAATTGGCTAATGTCTAACCCCATTAGCTCTGCTCCGCTTGGCTCCGCCATTTGCGGGCCCGCCCTCATTGTAACTATATATACTCAACTTGTACATAGGTTACACCTCAGTAATAAAATCAACTAGAGTTTACCCCCTTCAGTTCTGGTTGCCAGTTTAGTAAGTTAGGGCATGGACGTGTTACTTGGCACAGTGCTCCTGGCATAAGTCGCTGAGGCTGAAGCCCTCTGCCACGGAGACATTCCTTTGTCTTGACCTGGTCTCTGACAGTGTCCCTCAGCATCCTGCACCCAAAACATGAACTCAACCTCCTCCATGAATTGTTGTCAAACGTGTGTCCCTTCTTTCCACTTGTGCCGTCCACACTGAGTGCCGTTAGTTCACTGTACCAGGTCACTTGGCAACACTCCCAATGGCAGTCGGGGAGCTGGCTGGTGGCTCCCTGACAGCCAATCAGTGGCTGCTGATGGCAATGATTTTTGGGCCCATCACTGTATGTTAATTGGGTTGGGCCGGTATTAAGACAGACTAAACTCTCTTTGTTAGATACCAATCATTTGGGAGGCATATCTACCATCAGATGCTGTCCATGCACAGGAAGAGCGGGAGAAGATGATACAGGAACGTATACGAAAAAAGGAACAGGAGAAGAAAGAGGAAAAGGAGCGACATGGACAAGAGAAGCTGGCTTTGGGTATTAATCAATCAGTACGTCGATCAACAGTCCTACTGCTACACTGTCTTGGGATGCTCTTAAACTCAGATCCTCACAGGCCCCCATGGATGACAACGCTTCAAGGGGCCACAAGGCTCCGAGACCACCACCACCACCACCAAAGAAGAGGAAACCGACGAAGAAGAGAATGACTACTGGTGGCAGTCCCAATCTCGATGAGACGGCTAAGCTTCGCCCAGATGAGCCCATGAATTTTTTCCACCTCACAATGGTGCTTAAGTGTTGGCTATCCCGTACGATAACTGAAGAGCAGATTGCAATGGGTGAGGGACATATGCTACAGTATCTCAAGGGTGTGTTTGAGGTGGGTTTGCATTAAAGTTTGATCTCTCCACTGACCTGCTGCCATCAGATTTTTGGCCCCGACATGATCAAACCCAATCACCACTATGCAGTCCATACTGCTGAATTCATCCAGGACTTTGGCCCCATCTATGGCTTCTGGACATTCTTATTTGAGCGTCTGAACAAGGTCCTCAAAAGCTACAAATCCAATAATCATGGTGGTGGGCAAATTGAGGCATCCTTTTTCCGCGAATTCCACTGTACCATTCGCATCTCTCAAATTGTGCATGGTTAATTACATTTTGATGGTCCCCCTTCTTGATTCACCTTAGTACAGATTAGCCAGGCATTGTCGACTTCCAATCCACTGGACAAGGCAGCAGCCTCTTGCCTGATAAATGCTATGACAGATGAATGGGGTACAGTCCAAGCTCTGGCACGAGAGCTTGATATGGGCCTTGCAGATGGTACGCCCTCTCATTGTATATAATTCAGAATTCTAAGCGTGCACTCTCAGAAACATTCCCCCTCAACCAGATCGGCTTAGGCCCGGCACTGCAGAAGAAGTACGATCTGACGCTCGCTGATTCCATTGTAATAATAGGTCATCTGCAACGTCGCCATCCAGGCCTTAGGCTGCATCAATACACCGCTGTCAACCCTCACCCAGACAGCATACCACTACCCACATCCTGCTGGATGCACCACTATGTCGTCATCAAATCCTGCCAATATCTTGCATCAGACATGGCTGCCAACCCCTGAAGCTCATTGGTTGAAGTGGATGTATGTGGGACACAATGTTGTGGTGAACTCACGCATATCCTCTCATTCGATGAGAATCTCGGTATGGGAGCAATGCGAATGGCGTTTGGCATGGTCAAATGGTTTCACCCTTACATGCCAAAACATGACACAGTGTGGGCCCCTTTGTAAGAGCATTGCCATACTTATGGTCGATACACTGATGTGCAGTACATGCTTCTGGACAGTGCCCAAGACTCTCACATCTGGGTTTGGGAAGCCAACAAATGGTGGAATAACGGAAGTGTTTCCATCATTGCTCTGGATTCCATTTGGAGCCATCTTGCAAGGCTCGCGATGGCAGTTCAAGGCACATGGGTATGGGTAACTCTTACTATTGATGCTGTATGTATTCGAACATCATTCTCGATGACCCCCACTGAGATTCTTACAACGTGGCAGAATGGAGACAGGATCTAACTTTGATGTTGAGAGAATCCCCTTGCTGTAATATCTAGGACACTCTCTGTGTATCCAAATGTACAAACGTCCTAACCCAAAATAATAAATATTATTATCTCATGGTCGTACATATTATGTTATTTTGTTCAGCATTGTTGGTACATGTTTACTTTGTTCCGATCACACAACTGGATGTTGGACCTTTGCTAGCTAGATCTCAGGCATCCCCTGTGTTGTCAGCCTCATTATCCTCCCCTTCATTATCCACCCCTTCATCTTCGTTGTCACCCTCATATGCTATAGATTCTGCTTCGAACCTTCTGAGTGCTATGAGATCCTCAGCCATCATCATCTCATCAGTTATCGCAATATTCGTTATCCATTCTGGGTCCTCCGTGATCTTCATATGAGCCAACTGCTCTGCAGAGAGGTTTTGGGATACCAATGAATGGAAGACCGCGAACTTAGGGAGCTGGCAGGACATTGCCTCAGAGGAATGACTTGCAGGCTTATATGTATTTTGAGGCGCAGGCCTCTTGCCAGGAGCTTTGTCATCTATGTCATCCTGGCAGCATTTGTCCAATGCATAGTAATACCTGACGACCTACAAAGTCTTATTAGCCTGGTGGATGTGTGCAGGCCAACTTGTTGACCACCTACCATTGGTGATCTCCAGCACTTCTGTCTGCGCACCAGTGCTCCTGTGTTATCGTCACAGTCTGTCAACATGTAGTCAGTTAGTACAAGAGACTTCATCTGCGACTCCGTGACATTAGTCAACTTGACCAATAGCTTGGTTATTGCATTACGTTGCCTGGTTGTCAGGGCACACCCACCTGACCCGGGTCCACCCGGACCCACCCAGCCACACCACACCTGCTCCCCGCTGTCCAACCCTCTCCCTCCTCCTTCCTCTGTCTCTCCTCCCCTTTCCTTTCTCTCTTTCTTTATCTCATTCCTCTCATCTTCCTTTTCTTGTTTATTTCCTTCTATCTACACGGACCACCTTCCTTTGTATCAATGTACTATTGACCCGTCCAGCCCACACACCCTGGATGGCTTCCCGCTGTGCCCAGCATGCGCACATGCAGCAGACGCTCTCGGGATCCCCATGGGGATACCCGGATGCCTGTGGCTGTCTCCGAGGGTGACGTGGCACTTGTCATGTGACTCAAGCTGCATGTACATAAATGTACCTGAAGTGGGAACCGAAGAAGTAACCTTCTTCTCACATTCTCCACTTCAGTCTAAGTGGCCAGGGACTGCTGTCCCTTCCTGGACCTGCCAGTATGCACCCCTGGTTTGCACCCCGTGAGGGCCCTTCTGCCAGGCGATACATCCAGACCCCCTCTACCTCGGATGCGTCCCTGACACTGGTGGCTTTCTGGTAACAGGGATGGTTTGATCATGGCTCAGACTACTTTTAAGAGGCGGGCTTACCAATTTCTTATGGCCCCAGTGGTTCTTCCTCTCTCTTGATGACACAAGCTGGTTTCAACCATCAGCCTTTTGCAGTGTCGTCCAGACATCTCGCAGGTGCTTGAAGTACTGGACGAGTCCCTTGTGGATTGTTTGATCATCAAGGGTCTTCTCTTCTATGTGGCGTTTAAATTTCTGGGAAGCAGACTTGCACCTGAGCTTTCGCATGTTGCTTGGGATGGAGGCCCACATACTGGGCTGTCCAAACAGAGCCTGAGAGCCTCATTGATCGCAGGCTCGTTCAGTTCGTGATTTGCGTGTTTTTGCCAATCTGGCCAGAAGAGAGGAGTCCTATCAGCTCTCTTCAGCAGGGGGTCAGGGATCTGTTCCCCTTCTATTGTCATTCCGGGAGTCTTTGACATGATCCCCAGTATGTGGTGAAAAGTCTGCTGCATCAACTCCTAAAAGCATCATCGTCAGCCCCATCTATCACTAGTAGTACTAGCACATAGTCAATAGGGGGGCTCACGGTTGAATAAATTCGCCTAAACTGGATCTCAAGTGAGATTTCTCAAGTGAACCTAAAGTGACAAAAGTGCGTCAAAACTAGATCTAAAGTCGCCACTTTAGGTCCTTCTCGACTTGGGGCTCAGGAGCCCCAATTCGCCTAAAGTCACCCATCTAAACTCGGCTTTAAAACTGAGTAAGTCCGCGTTAACACTAACTGTACAGTTTGCTACCTAGGTCACCTGTCCGTTCCCTTCACCATGCTGCTGCTGCTGCTCGACGTGGATATTATTGTCACTGTTGTCATCAGTGTCCGAACTAGAACTCAAGAGTGAATCCTTAATTTTAGACATTGGCATTGTTGATGGTGACGTGCATGTATTCACAGAGTATGCTGGAGGGCTGCATGTTGTCATGGCAGATGCGACACAAGGACGAAGGGGGAGGGGGCAGCTTCAGCCAAAGCGTCAGAGGCACTAGTTTCACGTTCACTGTTTCCTTTGTTGTCATTAGCCCAATGGATTGTACATTGCACCTATATCGCGCTCTAGCCCGACTTCACGCTCCCGTTCACCCAAGTCTTCATCAAAAGAACCAGTTCAAAGGCTTGACTCAGTCGGGATGGCAATTGATTCTATGTAACGTGTTCAACGTAAATACAGGTAAATATGCTCTGAGGTTGTTCCTCCAACGGAGCACACCGCGTGTATGAGGAGCTGGCAGTCGGAAGTAGATGGCATTCGGATGTATAGTGATTGCGTGACACAGAATGGAACGGACTTATGAGATCCAGGCCCGAGCTACTTTGGACGCACTTTAGAACCGCCCCAACTGTGAGCGCCCTTGAAGTGACCTAAACTCGACCTAAACTTGCTCTAAACTGAGGCCCCACTTGAGGTGGAATTTAGGTCAAATTTGAACCACTTCAGAACCCAGTTTAGCTCCACTTTAATCAACCGTGAGGCCCCCTAATACTTACCTGGAGCTTTTCTGGCCAAATCGTGGCATCCCCACCTCACTTGGTTTTCTTTGCCACGCTCCCATCGCAGTGACTCTCATCTGGTTTCTCGTCAAACTTTCGCTTCAACTCCATTACTTCATCTTTGATGGAGTTCATCTCATCCCTCAATGATCATAACTCTAGAGCCAATGGCTGAATTGCTTCAGTCAAGTTTGCTCTCATACTTGCCTCCACACTAGCCAGCAGCTTCGGGTGCTGACTGACATCCATATGGTAGTTCAGAGGTCGTGGATTGGAGTTCATGTGGACAGATCCTGGTAAGCCGATCGCTCGATTTAAATTACTGCACTCCATTACTTTGAAATAAACCCTCACCCAGCAAGTGAGAGTACTGGGGGCTGTGGCCCACAACCACTGGACTCCTCATCATTCCAGTATTCCAGTCGTTAGGCAGTGACCTTAAGGGAGATGGGCCTAGCGTGTTGGGTAGGTCAGTATTCTCATTGATATATTAACACCTTACTGGACATCTTGACATACCTGTTTGTCTATAGTACTCTTGGGTTCCAGTACTCCAATACCCGAAGTCATCGGCATTACTAGTGCTGGGGATGGGAGTGGATCGAAATGATGTGAAGCTGCCATCGCTAGTCCCCATATTGTCATTGTCAGTGGGTTGGGAGTCATGCTGGTATTCGTCAGATGGGCCCTGGTACATCACTCCAACTTCTGGGTAGTGCTATAGGGAGAACGATGGGAGGGATAGAGGTAGAAAGAGGGACATCTGTCTTTTATCGTTTATTATCCTCTATGTACATCGAGAGACGAATGAGCGATATTGATCAGTATATGTCATCGTGGTTTCCTCTGTCGGAAATGGTGCTTTCCAGATATGGATTTGATTGGGAATCAATATGGAAGATTATCAGCCACCACCAAAGCCCCATCATTTCCCAGCCCCAACCATGGTAAAGTGATGCTCAATCTGCCAGTAGACAGAACCAATATCCACTGTGGGAAATTGCATGGAAATCCAGTTATCCCTGCCATTTCCACAGTGGATGTCAGAGACCAGATTCGAGACGAAGGAATGTCTCCGTAGCGGAGGGCTTCGGCCTCAGCGACTTCTGCCAAGAGCGCTGTGCCTAGTGACACATCCGTGCCCTAACTTACTGACTGGCAATTAGAACCTAGGGGGGGTAACTCTAGTTGATTTTATTACTCGGGGTGTAACCTATATACAAGTGGGATATATATATGGTTACAGCGAAGACGGGTCCGCAATTGGCAGAGCCAGACGGAGCGGAGCTAACGGGGTTAATCATTAGCCGACTGAATATTACCGACGAGTCAGGTTGCAGGGTTAGCGGAAAGGCAGGCGATAACCCAGATACGGAAAGGAGGGATAAGCCCGAAGGTAGGCTCTGCAGGGCAGGCGATTGTATTGCCCAGCGGAGGCGGGGGTGTGCTAGCGGACGTCGGAGCTGTCCGGAAGTCTTCAGGGCTCCGTACTTAGGGAGGCGTAGGTAATAAGTTGAAATGAGGGGGTGGTGACCATCGAGGGGTGCCGAGAGGGTTGCGGAATACGGGGGCTCCGAGGTTAGTGAAGGAGGAGCGGAGTTAGACCGGAGGGAACGGAGGGACCGGAAGTCAATGGCCGGGGATGGATATGACAGTGGAAATTTTTGGCCTAAACGCAGTGAGTGTTACCAAATGTAGGTGCAGCGCTCCTCTCCAAGTCACTGAGGCCATGGTCCTCCCACTGGTTCTCTACCTCTGGCCTCCCTTCTCAGGAAAGGTCCAGGAACACTGCCCCTCCTCGCTGTGTCCCTGACACCAAGGGTATGTAGCCCAATCAATATATAGACCAAATTTAGGGATATAAATGCAGTTAATCTGAAATTACTTAGGGAAAATGCGGGAAAATGAGTGGGAAAATGAGGGGAAAGTTGAGGGGGGGGGGATGAGGGAGAAAATGAGGGGGGAAATGGGGAAATTTGGAGGGGGGGATGAGGGGGGAATGAGGAGAAAATTGAAGGGGGGGATGGGGGGGAATTGTGGAGGGAATTGGGAGGGGGGGAATTGAGGGGGGGATGAAGGGGAAAATGAAAATGAGAGGAAAATGAGGGGGAACTGGGGGGTTTCTAAAACTTGAAAAAAAGTCAGGGGAAATTAAGGGAAATTCAGAAAATGGGGGACTTTCTAAAAAAGGAGAATGTCCAAAAAATCAGGGGAAATTGGGGCAAAAATCAGAAATTTTGGGATGAGTTAGGGAGAGATATTTCAGGAAATTAGGAATAATTGGAAGAAAAATTAAATCACTTTTTTGATAATTCAATGTGCATTGGAAAGTGCCAAAGTGGGGCAATGTAGCAATGTATGTTTCAGCCCTAGAAAAGTCTCCCATCACGTTTTGGTGAGCCTAATAACCATGGCTTTTTGACCATGGGAAATTTGGTGTCAAAGGCTTGGATGATATCTGAAGAATACATCAGCTTTTTGTTTGCTTTATTGGGTGATATTTTTAATTTACTTCATTTGGAACACTTTTTTAAAACTGATTTATACCCTACATAACATGCATGGTTACATTGCCACACTTTGGTGCTTTCCAGTTCACATAGAATCATCAAAATTGGTTGAGTTTTGAGCAAGAAATGAGATGAAAGATAAAGTGAAAAATTTTGAATTTCAGAGTTTTCCTCATATTTTGTAAATAGCAATAAACAAATAAGGTGATGATTTTAGTAAACACAAAAGGTATGTATATGAGCCTCATAGAGCTTTCAGAGCAATGACAATGGCCATTTTACACATGTTGTTCCACTTGATGAAGGTCAAGTCCTTGGTGGCCTTGACAGATGGTCAGGCCACCCCAAACACCTCAGGGTCTTGTCCACTGTAAGCCTTCCTCTTGCCTTGAACCATTACATATCCCCACCAAACAAATCATTCTTTTAGCATTGTGATCTCAAGAAGGACCTGGTGAAATTCCCTGACTGGATGTTGAAGGAGGACTCATTGGATGATGCTGTCAAGAATGAATTTACCAAGCGACTCAAGCAGCAGGCACAAGGTGCCCAAGTGCCTCCTTCATCCATGAAGGGTAAGTGACGAGCAGAGCCCTCCAATGTCTCTCCCAAAACCAGTAAGCATCATTCTCCCTTTGACTTTCAACATCATTATCCATATCTCCCTTCTAGACTGCTCCTCTAAGAAGAGCCGCCTACACAAGGAAAATCAAGAGGATAATGAAGATGATCTCATGTTCGACAATCCACACACCGTTGATGATGATCCTGAGGATGCAAGCCACATCGAAGAGTCTACCCCCCACTCTGAAGACTCACATGAGCTGGTACCTGAGACACCCATTCAGTATGTCAGCATCCATTATTGTCTCCTCCAATACACTGATTGCAGTCATATCATAGTCAATCGCAACATCATCATCAACATCATGAATCAGATTCACCTCCTTATGTTCCCCCAACATAGATTAGTTGTGGGCATGTTGGGAAGCGCCTTGAGGATGATGAGGATGAAGGGGAGGGGGGGGATGAGGATGAAGAGGAGGTGAAGGATGACAAGGATGATGAAGGTAGGGATGAATCAGCTGAGATCAATAAGAATGAGGAGTGTGATGAACAGCAGGTGGATGAACCATCATCAGAAAAGGAGGTAGAGAGCAGTCCTCCTATTTCTCCACCCCAGCCCTCCAGGCCTCCAAAACGCCAAACCAGGATGATGGTCAAGCTGAAAGAGGCTGGTGGCTCCAAGCCTTCTGTGGGTGTCTCCAATGCCACCCTTGGTGCCAAAGCACAGCCATCAAAGGGAAAGATGGCTACCAAGGTCTTGATCCTGCATCTGCAATGTAGTGGCTCTTTCTATTAGTAATTGTGCTAATCATGGGATAACTATCATACATGAGTTATTAGTAAGAATCATAACAACTAGTCAAAGTATCGATCTTGCCTCAGCTTCATGTTACAGCACTTTTGAGGGAATTTGTCCAATAAAAAGTGAAATGGGTATCAATCAATATGTTGTGCAGAGAATCACCTCAGAAATTGGCCACACATATATCCATATTATCTTTGCATTACTGGTGCCAAAATAACCAAGCAGATTTCATGGAGATATGAAGACCATCCATTATTTAAAAACAAAAAGTAATGATGCTGGCCATTTAATATGCATTTCCAAAAATGTATATACATATTATCTTTGCACTTCTGCATCCTTAGGAGAACAAAATCATTCAAACATTTAATTTTCTCCACCCAATGTGTAGAGGGTGCACAGCAAAAAGACTCAATTTCCTCACAGTGCTCTGTGAGCTCTGAGAGCTCTGAGAGCTCCCTACCAAGTTTGCTGATGAAGGGGATTCATCATTACAAAAGATGCCAACTACCTCCACCAAATCTGTTACCTCAAAGCAGCATTCTGCATGCTCATGCTGCTTGCTGGCCACATGCAGATGATACATCATCTACCCATGATTCCAGCAAACCGGTGCTCATTGATGAAGACACAGTTGATCTGTCTAAGATGATGCCTGGATTTTTAGGCACTGATCCCTTCAACTTGACCTGGGGGAAGAGCAAAGCATTACCAACAGATTGATCAAGTATGTGATGGTTGCAGTGACATATAACTCTGGTGGTGATCCAGCTGAAGCCCTTCAGCTTCACCTTGATAATGATAATCCCTTTGGTGTATACATCCTTGTGACTGGTTGGGCATTGGAGCCTGCACCAGGGAACAAGAGCACAGCCCACAATTCCTGCAGCCTTCATGTGGCTGCAGTTGGCAAGCATGGTAGCATCTAAGTACCCCACAGAGCTACTGAATGGCACTGGGTGGACCTTCTTCAGACACATGATTCAGAACAACTTGTCTGGGGCTTTGCATTCCTCAAAGCACCCCTACACTTTCATTGACAGTGTCAAGGAGACACTACCTACATCCCTATTGACAAATACTTGGCTTGTGATCTGAACACCAGCACACCCTTTCTACTTCATGGTGATCACAAGGCAATTGGGGCAATCCTCAGGGAGATCATTGCCCTCCCCATGATTCATGGGCCCAAAATAACCATCAATCCCCTGTGAACAAGGAGGTTCTAGACATTCTAGACCCATTAAACAAAGCAAGTGATGATCATTGAAACATTGATGTACATATGTTTAACACTTTGTGGCTCAGCAACTTCAGTTTTGCTTGTTTACCTCACAATTGCAGAATGCTGGCTACAAAGGAACTGTTTATACCTCTGACATCACTTCCCTGGATGCCTGGACAGGTAATGTCAAAAAGCTGAAAATTGTTCAAGGGGTAAGCAACTGCCATCAAACATCCAGGATTGGTGTTAGATTGGGCAGATTCGGACAACTCCAGAATGGAATCGGAGACTTAGCGTGGAAGGACCTTGGCCTCAGCAACTCATGTGGAGCACTGTGCCATTGCTGGTTGTCCTAGGGGTCCCTAATTTTGGATCTAGCAGAGGGGAAGTCTCTTGGGGGGAAATCAAGTTGATTTTGGACTGAGGTTACAAGTTACTATGTACATTGTATGTAAGGAGGGGTCCGGAATCAAAAGGGACAAGGGTAGGATGAAAGGAGACAGAGGGAGCTGGAAGGAGGAACAACACCGAGGGTCAAGGGTTTGACTCAATGGTGTTTCCCAAAGGAGGAGTGAAGGGCCAAGGCCCAAGGAGGAAGGAAGGAGGATGGGAGTGGGGAATGGCCAGCTGACTGAATAGAAAGGAAGCAGCAGCCCAAATAGGAATGAGGGAGAATAGCAGAATTGAATAGGACAATGCAATAGTTGCAAGGTCCAAGTGTCAGGGCACATCTGCCTGACCTGGCCCCACCCAGCCCCACTTCACCCGGTACCCCGCCACCCAGTCTTCTCTTACCTCCTCCCCCCTTCCTCTTTCTTTCTTTCTCCATTCCATTCCCTCTTCATTTATTTCACTTTCTCTTTATTTTCTCTTTATTTTCTCTTTATTCTACACGGACGACCTTTCCTTGTATCAATGTACCATTGACCCACCCAGAGCACGCCCACAACATGCCCAGCCCAGGCACCTTGGGCGACCCCCGCTACGTCCAGCTTGCGCGTTCACAGCGGACGCCCTTGGGATCCCCCACAGGGACACCCAGGTGACTATGGCTGTATGTGAGGATGACGTGGCACCCGTCATGTGACCTAAGCCGCATGTATATAAACATACCTGAAGTGGGAACCAAAGAAGTAGCCTTCTTCTCACCCTTTTCCACTTCAGTCTGAGTGGCCAGGGACTGTCTCCTGAGCCGGGCCCGCCAGTACGCACGCCCACTCCACACCCCGCAAGACTTCTAGTGTCGGGCATCTCACCCGGGCCTCCTCTACCCCGGATGCGTCCCTGACACCGAGGTAAGTCTGGAAAGTCCAAACTCAGAAGTTAAACTCCAGAATATTGGCAAAGGTAATTCAATTAAATGGAATGAGCTAACCAATACAATGGGTATAAGTGGAGGTGGGGTCAAAGTCCAAGGTCGGAGCTAAGACTGGAGGTTCCAGAGACAGAGATGCAACTGGGATTCTGGAGTGGAGGTCCAGAGTTGGGAGCATAGGTGTTGCATGCTTGTCTGGGAGGTGTCGAGGTTGAGGTCAGACCTGGACTGTTCTGGAGTTGGACCAAAGGTGGTGTCAGAGCTGGAGGTGGGATAACCTCTTGGGAGTAGGCAAGGAGAAGGTGATGGAAGGGAAGTAGGGCTCCAGAGTCAGTTTTGGAGTTCCGGGAGCCCGGAGTGGAGGTTGGGATTGTATGGATATGACAATTGGTTTCTGATGGCACTCTGTTTTTCCTATATGTATATAAGGACCGGGACCACAGGAAGGATCCTGCCAAATTCCTGCATTGGATTGTGAAGGAGGACTGCCTGGATGAGACAGTGAGGTCCAAATCCTGAAGCAGCTTGACATTGCAGCAAAGGTTGAGCAGCAGCAAGAAGCTGGCCCTTCATTTAGAACATGTCAAAACAAGCACATGTGCTGGGCATCTGAGCATGGCAACATGCCAAGCAGGAGGTTGGGTGGAGCTAGGGGCTGTCCAGGTCATCAGATCTGGGGGCTGGAGATAAGCTGGAGAGGTGGGGTGGAGCTCCAGAGGTGACAAGAGTGGAAGGAACTTGGCTTCAGCAACTTGGAGGGAGCACTGCACCTGTTATGTCCTCAGTGTCCCCAATTTACAAGGGGCTGGTGATGAAGGAACAGGGTTATGCACCAGGGAGGGTCAGTCTTACTACTGGATGGTAAATGTAATTGGAATGTGTAATCTGGTGAGGCCAGGTTTCTTTTGTAACCCATGAAGGTTGAGAGCCATCTCAGTTGTGAGACAACAAGGACCTGAGTGTTGGTAGACATCCAGGCCTATCCACTTTGCAGATGGGGTGTGAATTGGGTGAGCATTCTTACCCCCAAGGCATAGACATGGGTCAGGGATGGTAAGGTTGAACTGTAACCCCCTGAGATTCTCAATGGTTGGTTTTGCAGACTCAGTAGATGCCATGGCTTGGTTGATTGCAAGATCAGTTGAGGGTGAAGATGGCAGCAAAATGCAGTGCCCAAACAGCCAATTATATAACAAGAGACTCCAATAGATTGGGAATACCTGATCAAGAATATTCATTAGTCAGATGGGTGATATGATACTGATTTGTATTTGATATGTTATTTGTGTGATTGATTGACACCCCCTCATGTTTACTATATATCTTTTGCACACATAAAAATGATGAATGGCCTACTACAGACAACCAAAAGATTGGTTGGTCCATAATTAAATTCTATGGTGATGTTGTACCTTTTTTCAGAATGATGATAAGGGCAAAGACATAACTGGAGTCAATCATTATTGCAATGTCCAACTTGTTGGTCCACATAATCATCCCCAGGTTGCAACCTCTTGAATAATAAAGGTTGAAATGTCAGGGTACTGTCATATCCCAGACTTTTTACCCCTATCTGTCCTAGTTCCATACAACTCATGTTACCTCCACCGATCACCAAAACCACCTCCGCCCTTCCTGGCTGATGTCTATGCACCTGTCAGGGTTCAGCACCTGTCAGAGACCAGGGTCGAGACGAAGGAGTGTCTCCGTAACGGAGGGCTTCGGCCTCAGTGACTTCTGCCAAGAGCGCTGTGCCTAGTGACACGTCCGTGCCCTAACTTACTGACTGGCAATTAGAACCTAGGGGGGTAACTCTAGTTGATTTTTCTACTGGGGCGTAACCTATGTACAAGTGGGATATATATATGGTTACAGCGGGGGCGGGTCCGCAATTGGCGGAACCGAACGGAGTGGAGCTAACGGGGTTTAACCATTAGCCGACTGAATATTACCGACGAGTCGGTTTGCGGGGTTAGCGGAAAGGCAGGCGATAACCCAGAAATGGAAAGGAGGGATAAGCCCGAAGGTGGACTCTGCAGGGCAGGCGAGTGTATTGCCCAGCGGAGGCGGGGGTGCGCTAGCGGACGTCGGAGCTGTCTGGAAGTCTTCGGGGCTCCGTACTTAGGGAGGCATAGGTAATAAATTGAAATGAGGGGGTGGTGACCATCGAGGGGCGCCGAGAGGATTGCGGAATACGGGGGCTCCGAGGTTAGTGAGGGAGGAGCGGAGTTGGAACGGAGGGATCGGAGGGTCCGGAAGTCGATGGCCAGGGATGGATATGACAGTATCCCCTTCTTAGGCCTGAACCCTTGAAGGCCCAGAATTAGTAAGACGAGGGGAGCTGCACTTACAGGAAGAGAAACAAATGAGGAAATGGAAATGAAAACAGAAGTGAAGAACGGAGGGGAAAGGAGAAATGGGAGAGGAGTCGGGGTTCCTAAGGAGCTTCGGGTCCAGGCTTCGCTGGATACCGAGAGTGGAACGCTTCGACGAGGTCGGAGGCGTGATCGAGTTCACCGGCAAGGAGCCATTGTGTCTCCTTGTCGGTCCCTTCATAGCCTAGCCACTTGACCAAGTAGAGCAACTTGTTGCGTCTACGTCGGTCGATCTTGGAGTCGAGTATCTCCTCGATCTCGAACTCCATCTCGCCTTCGATTTCTACGGGAGGCGGAGGTGGCTGGTGGCGGTTCGGAATGGTGTTCGGGACGGATGGTTCGATCTGCGAGACATGGAATACCGGGTGAATGGCTCGCATGTTTTCCGGCAGGCGGAGAGTGAGGGAGTGGGTTCCAATGCGGGCGATGATCTCGAATGGGCCAAGGTTTTTCTCGGAGAGCTTTTTGGAAGGTGGAGTGGAACGGAAGTACTTGGCCTTTACGTAGACCGAGGTTCCTACTTCGAAAGCTGGGGCAGGGCTCCAGCGAGAGTCTGCCAGGCCCTGATAACGGATCTGAGCGAGATGCATTTCCTCGCAAGTGGTGGAGGGAGTCGAGATCGACGGAGTACTCTTGGGCGCGTACCGATGTCAGGTCTCGCTCCGGGTGAACGGTGATGTTCGGATGGTAGCCTTTGTTGGCGAAGAACGGGGAGACGCCCGTGGTGGCATTCGGAGCGTTGTTGTATGCGAACTCTGCGAGAGGCAAGAGTTCGGACCAATTGTCCTGCTGGCAGAAACTCACTCACCCAAAGAAGATCAAAACCGCTGACACTTATATTGACGCAGTTGGTATTGGTGATATCGAGGTCCAAACATTCATGGGAGATCAATCCCATCCTGGCCGATTCACAAATGTTCTTCATGTGCCCCGCTTAAACGAAAATCTTCTATCTGGCCGACAACTTGCAAAGAATGGTCTCAGAACCATTATTGAGGAGGATCACATCGACATCGTAAATTCCAAATCTGGAAAAGTTGTCAATCGTGCATACCCACACGGAAGTCTCTATAGACTCTGGGTAAAGATCATGTATCCCGAAACCACAAAGTTTTGTCGAGTCAAAGTTGCAGAGGATGATGAGCACGCACTCACGACCCAAACCATGTCAACTTCCAAAGCCAGCCTAGCCCTATGGCACCGGAGGCTTGGACACGTTACCGAGGATACAATCCTAAACATGGAGAAACATGGGTCAGTGGGCGAAATGGAAATTACGGAGAAAGGAAAGGGACACTGCATACCTTGCCTAAAGGGAAAGCAAACACGCGATCCAATCCCTAAATCCACCTCAACCCGCTCATCCGAACCACTAGGCCGAGTCTTTAGCGACTTATGCGGCCCAATCACTCCAGAGACCTGCGAGGGTCACCGTTATTTCATCACTTTCACCGACAATTATAGCCGGTACACCCATATCGGACTTGCAAAGTGAGAGGTCTGTGCACAGAAACAGTGAGATGTTTCATTAGAAACATCCCAACATCCTTATATAAGCATTTCCAATGCTTAATAAGCATGCACCAAGACTAATCCGAAAATAGAAGTAATATATAGTTTATATAATGTACAGAAATGTTTATATTATAACCCGATATAGTAGCAACTGTTTGGTTGAGTTGGGTGGTTGTATTGGGTGGTTGGGTGCTTGGGTAGTTGGGTTGTCAAAGATAGAAATTGTCCTGGGCTGAAGTTGCAGGCAGAAAGAGGAGACCCTTGCTCCTACTGGAACACAGGGGACTTTCATCTGGGGGGACTCATCAGCCCTTTTTGCCTAGTATTTACACTTGCACAGTACAGGTCTGTGCACCTGGAAAGCATCCCACATCTGAAATCCTATTAATCTTTGTTGATCTTGGGTGGACATCAGATTTTACCATAATTATAGTTATCCTAAAATTATGATAAAATATGGAACAGGAAGCTACAATGCTGTAGATTTTAATGGAAGTATTTATTTCCATAAAAGGCAAGTAGTTTTTCCATTATTTATGAAATAATGGACCCAATCTTGTTAAAACTCAAGATTAATCCTTAGGACAGCCTATCTTTTTGTTTCAGTGTAAAATGGATAGATACCATCCAATTTACAGACTGGTCTGTTGAGTTGGGTATGGTTGATTGGGTGGGTTATGGGATGCTCATTGGATGCTCAACCTTGGGGGTCAGACTTTGGAGGTCTTAAACAGCAAAGTGCTGACAGTGTCAGCCCAGGTCTGACTGCAACCAACCACCCACTATGGGGGTCCTCTGGGCAAAGTGCTGACATTTTCTGGACCAGGTCTGACTGCACTGCCTCCCACTATGGAGGTCCTCTGGGCAAAGTGCTGACAGTGTCGGCACTTTCTGGATGAGGTTTGACTGCACTGCCACCTACTATGGAGGTCCTCTGGACAAAGTGCTGACAGTGTCAGCACTTTCTGAACCAGGTTTGACTGCACTGCCACCCACTATGGAGGTCCTCTGGACAAAGTGCTGACACTGTTGGCACTTTCTGGACCAAGTTTGACTACACTGTCACCCACTATGAAGGTCCTCTGGACAAAGTGCTGACACTGTCGGCACTTTCTTGACCAGGTCTGATTGCACTGCCACCCAATATGGAGGTCCTGCCAACACTGTCAGCACTTTCCAGACTGGTTTGACTGCAGAATATGGAGGTCCTCTTGGACAAGTGCCAATGCTATCATCACTCTCAGGACTGGCATATGTTAGTTTCCATATCGGGCCACTTTCACAGTATTTTCACCATATCTCCCCAAGTTCTTCTCCGATCCAGATGGATCTAGTATCGTTGGAAAGCTATTGTCAAGGCGAGTCCAACGAGTCCAAGCTTGGGAGATTTATTACAGCCCTTGTGGAGATGGTCATATTCTATTCATTGTGTTGCTACTCCCATATATCTTTCATATTTACTTTGTTCTTATGTTGTTCTTGTAATAACTGTGCAATGCGATACTTGTATTAGTAAAGTATTGGCTGCCAGAGCAAGTCCCATCCTAATATACATAAACATGGGCTCTACAACACTGAGGTGAAACCAAGAGTATCAAAGTGCGAAAACAATGGTGAGTAACAACACAAAGGGAAAGAGAAAGGTTGGGTGGCAATTATGCCTCAAAGCGCTCCCACCTCCCAAAGCAAGTGTGTGCAGCCTGGGTACCTTGCCTTGGCAACCGTTGTGCCAGGCAACCTTTGGCCCTGACCACAAATGGCGTTGGGCTGCAGTTTCCAACAGTTCTGTCCATTTCTGTCTGTCCCCAACACCATCAGATCCCTTGGACATTAGCTTGGATCAGCTTTGGTTATATGTATCTATACAGTGAGTCAACACTGCAGTTTCACTCCCCCTTTGTTGCCTGTGTGTGTGAGGATGGGCTGATGAGCCTCCATTCCCACTATGGAGGTCCTCTTGAACAAGTGCCATTGGGTCGTAGTGTTATAATCGCAGTGTTATATAATTGCAGCATTGCAGCCACATGTAGAAACTGTCAGGGCACACCCGCCTGACCCGGCTCCACCCGGCCCAACCTGACCCGGTACCCCGCCGGTCCACCCTTCCTTACCTCCTCCCCCTTTCCCTTCTTCCCCCCTCATCCTCCCCTCCTCAGTTTCTCCTTATCTTACTTCTCCTTTATTCTCCCTTTATTCTACATGGATGCATGGATGACTTTCTCTGTATCAATGTACAACTGACCCATCTGCAGCGCGCCCACCATGTACCCGGCCCGGGCACCTCGGGCGACTTCCCGCTGTGCCCAGCATGCACGCCTGCACCGGATACCCTCGGGATCTCCCACGGAGACACCCGGGTGGTTACGGCTGTGTGCGAGGGTGATGTGGCACCCGTCATGTGATCCAAGCTGCATGTATATAAACGAACCTGAAGTGGGAACCGAAGAAGTAGCCTTCTTCTCAACTTTCCACTTCAGGTAAGTAGTACAATATCTTTAATGATAATAACAACTTTCCACTTCAGTCTAAGTGGCCAGGGACCACTGTCCCGCATCAGGCCTGTCAGTACGCACACCCGATCCGCCCCCCGCCAGGCTCTCGGTCCCGGACGCTATACCCAGACCCCCTCGACCCCAGATGAGTCCCTGACAGAAACCCAGATTTGACAGGATTCCATCAAATTTTGTATTGTGGGTCAAGGGAGTAATGAAAACAGGGTGGGACCCACATGAGGCATTGCAGTGTAGGATCTCACAAATCCAATGCACCTTAGTTGGATTTGGTCACGAAATGAGGGAGAGCATCCACAATAAAGATTGTGTCTCATGCCTGCCAAAATGTGGATTGCCTGCATTCTGCCATGTCAGTGGCTTGACATCCAAGTGAAGATAGTTAATTACATGTAGTATCAAGCCAAATCAGTCTTCTGTGCCCTCATCTTGTAGGATGGGAGATTTCCACACCCCCCTCCTAATCAAATTCCCATCCCACATAGCCTTGTCATCCACCAAGGGATTTAGAATGAGCACAGGGAGCCTTGTTCCAGCCCTGTCAGCAGGGAAAGTGTCTGAACTCCAAGGGTTGGCTGTAGTGGACCACATTCGTGAAAGATCTGAATATGGCACCCAAACGAGTTTGGAGTATACTGTCTCCCAAATTTTCTTTCTGATATGATTACCACCAGTACAGTCAAACTTTATGATGAATTCCCACCAAGAGATGTGAAATGGATACCTCTTCCATCCTTTGCCCCCATCTTTGAACTGAATATGCCCCCCCTGTCTCCTGTCCCGATTGTATTTGCCCTGCATTTTTGGTGGTTCCCATTGGAGGTCTGGAGGTGGGAAAGTGAGTTGGAATGCAACATGAAACTCAGAAGGGTTGCACCTTCGGAGGTGAGCTCCAATGAAACCACTTTTATGCAGATCTGGTTCCACAAAGTACTCCATACCAGGATGATCGATAGGGTTGTCTGGATCATGGATGATGTGATAGAACACATCAGAAGATGGGGTCTGTGGTACTGGGATGGTCTGCAGGATGTTGGAATAGAAATACTGGATAATCTGGTGGAGAGACTTTGTGTAGATTATTGAGGTGGTCCCTTGAACAAGCTGAGGTACAGAATGGTGGTCTTCAACAGAGTAGGCAGTCCTCAGGTGCTTTATATGGTGCTTCTTGAGTTTGACATGAAGATCGGCTGGAAGCTCATGTTCTGGTTTGAGTACAGGGGGGGCTTCTGTACAGTGAGGTCTGGGGAGACGGAAAGGGGCTCTTACTGCAGTGTAGAGGGTGGCTGAGAGCAGTGTTTTGATCTCCTTGACAGAATAGCCCAGGAGGTGGTTAAAATGGTCCTCATCCAGTGGCCACCATCGTACCAGTCCAAGTGTGGTATGTGCCCTTGTTACGGATACGGAGTCTCCAATGACCATATCCGTCACATGGTCAAAGACTTCTCCTCATTATCGTTCCTCCCCTCTTTCTCCCTTCCGTCCTCTATCCTGATACCCTATCCTCCTTACCCGTTCTACCCCTTTCCCCCCCCTCATGCAAAGCTTTCCCCAACTGGGGTTTTGGTGCTGGCCGAGGTTATTTGTGTTTCGTGGGATTTCCCGCGACCTTACCATTTGTAGATAGTCACACGTCTTGTACGGAAACTGCCGAAGGCGGTTCCCGCTAACTAACAACTGCTCTACAACTGTCTCATGTACTGTCTTCTGTAACAACCCTCCCTGTGACTCAACTGAACCCATGTGATTGTACAGCTCTCAATATGTCTTATATGTCTGGTTATATCGAGTCCTCTAACGGCCCTCGCCGTGAGAACTCGATGTCGCGAGTCGAAGACTCTCGACATGTATTTCGTCCTATGGAATCTGTACTCTATGGGTCCTCCTCACTACGCTCTCCCCCCAGTACTCGACACACGACGTCCCATCACGATCATGGAGATCGTGAATACTCTGAGGCCCGCTTACCCGTGATGCCGGCACGTTCGCTACGTGAACACCAAGTAGCCGCCCATCCACCGTCTGTTTCTTCCTTCGCAAGTCATCATGTTTCCCCGCCAACGGTACGTTCCCTTTGGGAATGCCAAGTCACCGAAGGACCTATTAGTCAGTCCTCATTGCACGCCTATGATATCAACCCGCTACCGGTACGTTCGCACTGCGAACGCCAAGTACCCGATAGCAACTATACGAAGATCTCACCCATCTCACAAGTCGCGACCTCGCACACGGTACGCTCCATTGAGGAGCGCCAAGTATCCGTGGCTGACCCGTCTGTCCTGGTATCTCCGACTACCTATCATCAATCCCTTAATGGCTCACTACATCACCAACCGCGATCGATGGGAATTCGATCGTCTGCTCCCAGGCAAGACTGGGATCACTCATCAATTACATATCCCGTTATGGTACAGACTAGACACGACCCTCGTCATCCCACTATAAGAACGGATCGAGGAATGGGGAATTCCCCCCATCCCCGTAACAGCCCTGAATGAAGGGGCAATTCACCCATGATTGGAGGGGCCACCATAACTGATGTCCCTGAACCAGAGAACATTTCCAGGTGCAAATGGGCAACATTGTTCACCCTCAGCCTGGTCTCTGTGAGGGTTTCTGTCACATCCATCCAGGACATCTGGGTGTAAGAAGTTATCGGTCACTGGGAGGGAAGCACACATGAGTGCATGCTCTGAGGAGCCTGTGGCAGGCCTGCTGTTGAGCATGTTGATGCACCATAGGAGTGCTGCAGTGAGCTCCAGTGCATAAGGCTGCACCCTAGACTTGGGGGTGGCATTCCGCTGAGCTTCTATGAGCTGATGACATGCACAGGTAGTCAGGAGTTTGAACAACCTAGGTTGAATGGTTAACCACAGCGCAGATATAATTTAACCTTTCTTGACTTACCACCACTGTCGAGCAGGTACAGAGATGGTGCATTCCTCGATAAACTCCCTTATGCCCCTCAATGCATTCCTTGCTTTCCCCAGTGGCACATGAATCTCCATTCTGGCTGTTCCCTCTGTGTGCTCCTCGTTGGCTAAACTCCACACTTGATCCAGGTTATCAAATTCTCGCTGGAGTTTCTTTTGGTTCTTTTCCAGGAAGACGTTTTTCTTGCTAATCTCCAGCATGGGATGGAATTTGTCTGCCCTTCTGGCCACTGCCTTCTCAGAAGCATACCACTGTGCATAAACAGGCAACCATGCATGATGGGGTAATGCACAATGGCCACCAGCCAAAGATAGGATGCCTGCTTGAACATCACAAAGTACCCTTCTTGTCCTGGTGTGGTCCAACCTCTTTCAACCTCTCCCTGACACCCATGGGCAAGGACCTGAAGGACATTGTGATGCTTGGATGCATCCCAGTGGAGGACGAATTCCCTCCTGTGGATTTCCAGCCTCACATCCACCCATGTGCTTCTCTGCTCCTCTGCCGATAATTGATGGTTGAAGAGCCCAAGGATTTGTGTCCATGCTGTCTCTTCTTCAGGAGAATGGGAATGGGCATCCTCCAAGGGAATTGGATGTGTGGTGCTAAGTTTTATGCCCTTGATCTCTAAGCCAAAGAAAAAGCTGCATGCCCATTTAAGCCTTTCTGCCTTTATCTGGAGGCAGTGCCTCATCTGGAGGACCAAGTCATGAAGGAGAGATGAGGCAAAGAGTCGTTTTCCACCAACCACTTTCACATCCTTAGTGTGGGAAAGGATACCATCTAGTAGGCAGTAGGGGGGATATGAAGGGGCAGAATGGGGGATTATGTGAATGATGGCAGGATGCAAGACTTCATCATAAAACTTGGCAATATGCACCTCATCCACCCAGTTGTTGACCATGTTTGTCAGGTATGGAAAAAACATCCTGATAAGGCCATTGTTGGAATATCTTCCTAGGCAGTAGTTTGGTATTTTATTTGCCTCTGTTGCATGGGGCCCCACAGTACAATCCTAGATAACAGTCAATCACAAGAGACATGTATATGAAACTCAGGCTTACAATGGAAAAGAGGTGTTCAGGAATTTTCACATGGAGGCTGCTTGAACTTGGCAGGACATCCATTGGATGAGGAACCAGGCCAAATTCCACACTTTCAAACAGTGGCAACCGAGCATAGAATCCAATGAGAGAGTCATAGTCTCTGTGAAGAGAGACATCATCTGTGCCTAGTCCAGTTCTCATGTTTGAAGTATTGAGTCTCAAGTAACAGCCCCTTTCATCCTTGCCTTCTAAAAGAAGTTGCTCAAATCCTTCATGCAAGACCCCAGCAGTTTTGCTTCTCTCCAGTCAGAAAGCCGTTCTGACATATGTTGAGAAGTCAATGTCTAAGAGATCTTCAGGGTCAAAGTCTGATGGGGTTGTTTCCCTGGAGTCCATTAGCACTGTCATCAGGTGTCCTCCAGAATCCCATTGGCAGCTGCTGGGATACTGGCATCCCAGTATACTTGCAATCTCACTATCTGATGACAGTGTGAGCTAGCTAGAGTAAAATGTATTATAGCCCTTACTTGGTCATCCAAAAGGAGTGGCATCAGCATCAGCCTCAGGCAACCCATTCAACTTGGAGCACTCACAGATTCTGATGGAGGCCTTATCTCAACTATCTTTCCCTTGCCTCCATGTCTCATCAAAGTCCTCTCAAAATATGCATCCCCTCTTGGTAATTGAGCATCATCCATCCAGTACACACTGACAAAGTCTCAACTGCATCCTCTCACACATTGTGAAGGAACAGCTTACACATTGTGGAGGTGGTATTTGTACTCTTTTTCTCCTTTCCACCACACATGGCCTTAGAGTGTTGATGCAATTAGCATGAAAGCCAGAAGCCTTTTGATTTTTAACTCACCCGAAAATTCATGCCCTGACGTAACAGCTTGTTGAGACATTGATGCTTATTTCATGAGAGGGACACCTGTGGTACAATGTTGACTTGTGGTTATGCAGAAGGAGCCGAGGCCAGTAACTGGGATCATATCAGCCCTTTAACAGCCTGGGTTGGGACAATCCCTGTTGAAGTGGCATTCTGATACCCTTGTTCATCAGCAAACCTGAATGTGGAGGTCTGAAAACTCATAGAGCTCTCAGAGCTCTCAGAGCTTCAGTCCTTTGAAATTGCTGGTCCCCTTCTCTCAGAGCTCCAAAAAGTAGTCAAAGCTCTGAGAGCTCATAGAGCTATATTTGCACACAGGGGACTATTATCTATATGAGCTCCCTGAGTGTTTAATTTACCTGATATTAAAATTAAAATTTAAGAGCATGGACTCTGGCATCATGTGATGAGTCACAGCCAAGTCCCTACCATACAGGAAACTTGTCATATCCATACAATCCCGACCTCCGCTCCGGGCTCCCGGAACTCCGAACTCCGACTTCCGGAGCCCTACTTCCCTTCCGTCACTTTCTCCTTGCCGACTCCCAAGAGGTTATCCCACCTCCGGCTCGGACACCACCTTCGGTCCGACTCCGGAACATTCCGGGTCCGACCCCAACCTTGACACCTTCCAGACGAGTACGCAAAACCTATGCTCCCGACTCCGGACCTCCGCTCCGGTATCCCGTTCACATCTCGTCTCCGGAACCTCCGGTCTTAGTTCCGACCTCGGACTTTGACCCCACCTCCGCTTATACCCATTGTATTGGTTAGCTCATTCCATTTAATTACCTTTGCCAATATTCCGGAGTTTAACCTCCGAGTTCGGACTTTCCGGACTTACTCCGGACCTTGCAACTATTGCATTGTCCATTTCAATTCCGCTATTCTCCCTCATTCCTATTTGGGCTGCTGCTTCCTTTCTATTCAGTCAGCTAGCCATTCCCGACTCCCATCCTCCTTCCTTCCTTCTTGGGTCTTGGCCCTTCATTCCTCCTTTGGGAAACACCATTGAGTCAAACACTTGACCCTTGGTGTTGTTCCTCTTTCCATCTCCCTTTGTCTCCTTTTGTCCTACCCTTGTTCCTTTTGATTCCGGACCCCTCCTTATATACAATGTACCTAGTAACTTGTAACCTCAGTCCGAAATCGACTGGAATTCCCCCCCAAGAGACTTTCCCTCTGCTAGATCCGAAATTAGGGACCCCCAGGACAACCAGCAATGGCACAGCGCTCCACCTGAGTCGCTGAGGCCGAGGTCCTTCCATGCTAAGTCTCCGATTCCATTCCGGAGTCGTCCGAATCCGCACGTTCTAACAAAACTGAACAAACTCAGCTTGACTTTCAGCCCCAATGCATTGGAATGCCAGGAGGGGTACAGTGGGTATGGTGTAGTGATCTAGTATAAGATCAAGAGCAAGTGAGATAACAAAAGTGAGTGCAAATAATTGGTAGCCCACATGATCTTTTGCGCTTCCATAAAAGATGTGACAGAAATTTCTGTCACAGACTTGTGGCAATACAAAAAGACCCTCGTCAGAAAATTGTGAAATCCAGCTTAAATGGATGTGGAACCTTGACACTTGAGAGCCAAAATTGGATGTCTAAATGTGAGATTTGAATGCTTCAATACAACATGAAGATCTCCTGGAGAAGTCAGGCTCTCCCCCAGTCTGCTGGGGAGATCTATGAAGATATGGGTCTCAAAAATGAAAAGGTGTTTGAAAAAAAAATATAGCCCAGGGCATAGTTCATTTTGGAATAGGTTTTGTATCAATGTAGAGGGGCCAGTGAAGGGATCTAAGGTTGTGGAGTAACTCCAGTGGCAGGTTTGGATAAGTAACTGCATTTTCTGTGTAAGATCCTGATGAGTTTTGTGTGTAGAAGAGAGCAAGCAAAACAGTTTGACGATGAACAGGTTGAGCGGATGCTTGCATGGCTAGTGATCAACATCCCCAAACATATCCCTGGCAATGCACAGAGCAGCAGGTCTGCTTGGACAGTGTTTAAGTGGATGTGTGAGGATGTGTGTGTTGCTGCTTACTTACTCTTACCCTGAATCTCACCCCAACCCACCATTGGGCTGAACTGCACATAGAAGGCAGAACTCTATTGGACCAGCAAACATCCTGTCGCTTCATGGCAGAACCATTTCAAGAAGTTCTTTGACAAGTTCAACCCTGGAGTTGATAGGCTGGCAAATCTGGATAGAAAGGGAAAGGGGAAGGCTCCTGAGATTACCGCCAAGGCAATAATCCTGAACAGGAAGCATGCCAATTTGGTTCAACCCAACTCTCTGCCACATCCCCAATCTCTCAAGCAGAGGAAGCCAAATGGGAACGGTGCTGGTTCATCACCCAAGGGAAATGCCCCTTTGTCACTGTATGGGAGAGAGGTTAGTGATGAGGGTGGGGGTGGGGGTGGAGATGATAGTGATTACAGGTCACCTAGGTAAGTTTTAGGCATGCTTCGCAACTTTCACATGCAGTTGGCCATACTTAATGATACCAATAGTGATCAATCATTAAGGTATGGTTTGTTATGGGAATGGACCTAGAATCTTATGGTCCGTGACTATAGACAATCAAACCTTAGCCCCTTCAACTTTATTTCTTTGTCAAACCCCATGCCAAGCTTTCCCACTGGGTTTTGGTGCTGGCTGGGGGATTTGTTGAGTTTCAAGGGACTTCCTTTGACCATTATGATTTTTATATTAGATAGTTAGAAGTCATATGATGTATAAGGCAGATGCTGGAACTGTTCTCATTATCAAATACATAACCCACAAACCTTGTACCACAATTGTAACATCCTCACTATTGTGTCACCACTGTAAACTCAACCTGTAACCCTGGAACCATGTCCACCTCCCTATTCCTCCTTTCCATGACAAAACCACAGCAAGGAGGGCATTCCCATGCCCAACCTCCTGCTGCCCACTCCCACCAGTCCACCAGGTGGTTGAGTGGTTACTCCCATCCAACCAGAAGTTCCCTATCAGGAACTGTAGCCTATCCCACCTCCTCAGGAGAAGGATACGGTCCAGGCAGCTCCAGGATGCCTGGCCGTGCACCTGCAGGTCCCACTTCCCACGGTCACCCACTACCATGCACTGGTCCACCAGCCCACTTTCCCCAACAACTCCCGCTACCGGTACGCTCCCATGAGCGCCAAGTCACCGATAGCCACCAACTGGGTGACTCCCTTTGGGAGTCCCAGTATCCCTCACTACCGGTACGCTCCATTGAGCGCCAAGTCACCGCTAGCCAAACACTCCCAGCACACCTGCTACTGGCACGCTCCCAGGAGTGCCAAGTCCCCGTTAGCAGACAGCCAGGTGGCTCCCTCAAGGAGCCCACATCATACTCGCTACCGGTACACTCCCAGGAGCGCCAAGTTACCATTGGCTGACACACAGGTTGTACTTCCGTACACTCATCCTATTCCGCTCTCCCTCCGATGGCTACGCAGCCACCTCCATTAGTGAGCCGAACGGCTCAGGTTGGGTTCCCCGGAACCCATTCCTGTAACATGGTTGGCTCCCATACATATTGAAGCCTGCTGACCTCCAAACACAGCCCTGAAGAGGAAGAGGAAGAGCCAAGAAAGAGAGCTCCATCCATGATATGCCTTGATTCTGATTTGAAAGTGAGTTCTCTGTCTAGAGTGTTAGTGTTGAACATCACATTTGAGCTGCAAGATGAAGATGATTGGACAGCTGCCAGGAGGAGTCACCCACAGTATTTATGACTTATCTGTGCAAATCTACATCCCTCTTAACCACCTTTCATAGACTCCGCCCTTTGGTGACGCTTGATTCCGATTCTGCAGGTGAGAGTGCCCTCTGCAGTCTGAATGATCCCAATTGAGCTTTGGGTCCAACAGATGAAGAGGGGGATGTTGATGATGCACTGGGGCATGGAAATGAATTGAGTGAAGATGGGTTTTAAGAGCATGTGATGTTAG